TATATATATATATATATATATATATATATATATATTTGTATGTGTAAATTAAATTACATTTTATTTATACCAGTTCATGTAATTCAATAAGTAACTCACCAGATCACCTAATGACCCATTAACCTAGTACCCTTATTGGATTAATCACCAATTTGAGTTTTAAAACATTGGTTGAGGGTGAGATGTTTCTATTTGACATAATGGGTGAGACATTCTACAAGATTTTAAGCATAAATAGTGTGAGATATGTTTTGACATGGAAGGTGCTAGAAAGGTTATGTCTTGATGTATGCTTGTAATGACTTGAATGAATAGTAAAAAAACCTCACAAGTAGTCGAAGGACCATCGACTATATTTATAACTCTATGTTATTGGGAGTGAATCAATATAAATTCTTAATTTACAATCTTTTAACAACCTTATCCCTTTTATTTGATTTCAATATTTTTATCAGCATTTATTTAAAAAACATTGTGTATAAGATTAAGCATCGCACATTGTTTGATCATTTTCTTGTTAACACAAACTCAATAAAAGAAATATTAGTAATATACTCTTTAACACGTATTTTTTATTAATTAAAATTATTTAAAAATTATAAAATTAAGAGAGAGATTTATTAAATAAGGTGTAACACCCACCAAATTTTATTATTTTCAATACATTTCAACCAATTAAAAATTTCATTCTACACCAACTAATTACCTCACAAATCTACACTTTCCAAAAGTTTTTTCCAAATATAACCCACCCCATCTTTGGATCAGTGTCTATTGTCTAACATAAATAACTAAAAATATATAAAAGCCCTCCAAATATTAGAATATGAATGGGCATTTACGGGTATTTGTTTGGGGGCAAGAAAAGGATGGTAAGAGCAAAATTGGACAAAACCCCATTTCTCCTTTGTACACTTTTCTTCTTTACACTCCTCTCTTCTATTGCCCGATATAAGGATCCATTCGTAGTTCTCGCACGGAATGGATCCTCTTGTGAGATTTTCACATGACCTTATCACGTGAAAAATTGTACTATCTCTCTCTTGCAATAACCTTATACTTTCCGAGAAGGCTTTACCTATTTAACGTGTATCAAGAAGACATGATACATAATTTCATGAGGCATGCAAAAACTCTACATGAGATGAGAGGATCCTAACCTCAAAATATGTAAAATGCATTCCACACAACGAAAATGAAGAAAAAGAAACACAAATACATAAGTCATTTGCAAAGGATATTTATATTGCAATTATGAGACAGAAGGAAGTTTCCGTTATGCAATGAAAACAAGAACCATTGGCATCACTTTTGTTTGAGATTACCATTTATCGGAAACACTAGAAGTAGTCTACATCACAAATTAAGGAAAACGAGATTAAATAAATCAGTATACCTGTGAACAATCTTTCGATCATGAAGATAATTTAAACCATGCAAAATCTGTCTTGTATAGGGAGAAACTTGTGAATCACGAAGAGTACATTTCTGGCAAAGCTTTCGAAGGGAACCTTGAGATACAAGCTCAAGAAAGACATACAGATTAGATTGGTCCTGCAATAAAACAACACGCAGAATGTAAATCAAAAACTACATTTCTCACAAGGCATTAGTTATAGGATGAAATTACAAGCCTTACAAAAATATATTGAAAAGAGCTAAACTTGTTTATAGTTGACAAAATCTAAATACAGCAAGAATGTTGCAGCATGACTAGTTAGAATAATTGGTGGGGTCCTATAACTAATGGCGTTGCTGGATATGGCGGAAGCATGACGAGCAAAAACAAAACTATAATATATACATATATATATATATATATATATATATAAATGTAAAAAAGAAAATTGCAATGCAGAAGTAACAAAAAGCCATCCATAAAACAAACAATAACAAGTTTTAGACTTCAAATAACAATAAAATAATAAAAAAAAATAAACAAAGTTTAAGATTTCAAATAATGAAAAAATGCTAAGAAAAAAAACATATCAGCACAAATTATAAGGTAAATGTCTAATCTCGTGCTATTCTTCAATCCCATCATAATCATTTTCCTTGACATCTACATATAGTGAGGCATATCACACCTCTTCATGTTAAGATTCGTCCAAGTTTAACGACTCTTCTTCCATTTCCTGAAATTCAAAATTCTCAAATTCTAACTCTTCATCAACTCAGGTCAACTCAAAGCTAAGGTTACTAAAACTTAATCTCTTGGCTCAATAACAAATTGTTATATTAGTTTTTTATAAAGTAAAAAGGTCATATATGTTGACAAAAAGACTTCATATGTTAGAGAAGAAAAGACCTAACATACATCTTTCTATATCGGTAGTCGATGTCATGTTGAAGTTCAGACAAAATTTTGAAACTCAATGTTATAAGGACTATTGTAGCCGTAGTCAATGCAATTTTGGAGTTGAGGCACGATAGTTTCGTGTTACTTGAGGTTTGAAAGTTTGAATAAAAATCTGGTGTATCTTTTCACACCTCCAAATCTGAATATTATATATATGAATATTATATATATATATATATAAGAGAGAAAATACAAAAGAAAGATGAAATGGATGACAATATCTCCCTTGGTACAGCAACCTTGTACAGAGGCAAAAAAATAAAATAAAATACAAAATATATATAGATCTAATAACATATAATCTAACACTTCCCCTCAAGCTGGAGTATATAAATTGTATGCTCCAAGCTTGGAACACAAAAACTGGATTTAAGGCCCTTTCAAAGATTATGATATAGCAATTTGATCACTAGAGTTGACAAATTTAGTGACAATTTCCTAGGACAACAACTTTTCTCTAACAAAATGAAAATCGACTTCTATATGTTTAGTTCTTTCATGAAACACTAGATTGGAGGCAATGTGAAGGGCACCCTGATTATCACAATATAATTTCATTGGTTGAACTTCACAAAATTTTAATTCTTGAAGGAGTTGTTTAATCCATACAAGTTCACAAGTAACCAAAGCCATAGATCGATATTCTGCTTCAGCACTAGATCTAGCAATAATATTTTGTTTCTTGCTCTTCTGAGAAATGAGATTCCCACCAACAAAACACAATATCTAGAAGTAGAACGTCAGTCTATAAGACAACCTGCCCATTTGGCATCACAATATCCACAAACTTGGTTGTCCCCTTTGTCCTCATATAATAAACCTTGACTCTTTTTGATGTATCTAAGAATACGTATAATAGCATTCCGATGATCAATGTGAAGGGCTTGCATGAATTGACTAACAATCCCTACTGCAAAAGAAAGATCAAGTCTTATAATTGTGAGATAAATAAGTTTACCAACCACTCTCCTATATTTGTCTGGATCTACAAATGGTTCACTTTGATCAACCATCAATTTTTTATTAGAATTCAGAGGACTATCAATGGACCTACAATTAGTCATGCATATTTCCTCCAATATGTTAAGGGCATATTTCCTTTGAGAAATCACAATGTCCTCGTTCGATTGAGCAACTTCAATACCTAGAAAGTACTTTAGGCAATCAAGGTCTTTAGTTTGAAAATGACTAAATAAGTGTATCATTTTTTAGCTAAGAAATTTTTGTTGTATCATTTTCTGTAATTACTATATCATCAACATAAACCATTAGATAAATGCACTTCCCAGGAGATGTATGACAATAGAAAACCGAATGGCCTGCTTCACTTCTTTTCAAACCAAACTATTGCACTACATGACTAAATTTTCTAAACCAAATTTGGGGAGATTGTTTGAGCCCATAAAGAGATCGACACAATTTACACAAACTAATCCACACTCCCCCGAGCAATGAACCCAAGAGGTTGCTCCATATAGATCTCCTCCTCCAAGTTATCATGTAAAAAGGTATTTTTAACATCTAACTGATAAAGGGGCCAATGGCAAATGACAATCATAGCAAGAAACAATCGAACAATTGTGATTTTGACCACTAGGGAGAAGGTATCACAATAATCAAGTCCATATATTTGAGTATATCCTTTAGCCACCAATCGGGCCTTAAGACGATCAAGTTCATCATCCCCATCTGCAGCTAATGGTATTCTTCCCAAGTGGAAGAGGTACTAGTCCCTCGTGCCACTAGTTTCAAGAGTCTACATCTCAACAACTGTGGCTTGTCTCCAAACAGGATGAGATAATGTTTCATTGATATTTTTAGGAATGGTAATGGAAGACAAGGATGAAACAAATGAATAGTATGAAAGAGAAACATGGAACAACGTGTGAGAGAGCATCAGAGCTCCGAAGTCCCTGAAACCAACAAGGTTGGGTCACACTCAACAAGGCACACTAAACCTTAAGCTCACTAGAAACAATGGTTGTCGAGGACGATGTTAGATTATGGAAAACGACAACGATCGACGTCGAACAATGACAAACGAACAGTGACCAGACAACGGTGAGGGACAATAAAGCGGGACAAAACCCACTTTGATACCAACTTGAGGTTTAAAAGTTTGAATAAAAATATGGTGTATCTTTTCACACCTCCAGATCTAATATATATATATATATATATATATATATATATATATATATATAAAAGAGAGAAAATACAAAACAAAGATGAAAGGGATGACAACATCTCCCTTGGTACAACAGCCTAGTACAAAGGCAAAAAAACATATATATAATACAAAATATATATAGTTCTAACAACATATAATCTAATAGTGTTAAACCACATAATTCCTTTGGCTTTGAGAGAAATTAAAGACTGGTGAAGAAAATAATAGTGTGATTGTTTGATCATATTGGCATGTTATTTTTATGTTATACTCCACAATGATGACTAGACGACAAAGTGGGTAATATTTGTAATTATAGAAGGTGCGGTTGTAGTTGTCGTTATAATTTAATATTACATGGTTTTGGTCGAATAAAGTCTTAATTATGTGTCGTATTTTGGGATTGTATATTTTGTGGTCAAAATGTGTTATTAGTCCAAGAGTCATTTTTGCTTTTTTTTTTTTTTTAAGTTATAAATTATATAATTGATTTTTTTCGAGTAGAGGAAAGTTAAAACTTTCCTATAAAAACATAGCTTGTTTTTACAAACAACTTTTTCATTAAAAAAAATTAAAATGGAAGATTAAAATATCTCCGAACCATATTCTTAATTAAATTTGTGATGGAAACTTTCAACATGGATTTAACAATGAAAAATGACAACAAAATATAAAACTAAACTCAGAGAAAAGAGCAAAGGACAATAATAGAAAAGTACCGTTTCAGTGCCGAAGTATTGAACTATATTCTCATGATCCATCTGGCTCAAAAGATCAATTTCCTGAGGGAAGAAGTACAATGAGAGAGAGAGAAATATAGAGAGGAAAAATATCAAGGATAAGGTAAATAGATCGATAAGTTAACCAACTTTAAAGAAAATATAATATACTGAAAAAAGATAGCATAATTAATATTTAGGTAAGAGGACATTTTCTTTTAATCGCTTAATTAGACTTTTATGTCCGTCAGGTATTCATGTCCTTTAAGTATTATAACCCTGAGATTTTGGTCAGCGAACACTCTCTTACACCCTCTTTTTTATAAATTCTCTTATTATTATAATTTATTAAAAATTTCAAAATTATGAGAGAAAATTATTATATAAGGCATAAAATTCATCCTTTTTTTATTTTTCAATAAATTTTAACTAATTATAGAAAGTGTGTTCCTAATATTTTCCTTACATGAATTAAGCTTTTTAAATATTATTATTGTATAATTTTTGTCCTTCTATCAGTAATTCATCAAATAATTAACAATTTTTTATAATGCAGCATTAGATGATGATTGATATAACTAAATGTATGACACATTGATGTGGCTAAATTACACCTTTATTACTTATAATATCACAATTATGAGTATTATATAATTAAATCACGTTGACATATATATCATACTAAAGTGATCACATCATCATCGATGTCACATTAACAAAATCTATTAAATATTTAAAAAAGATGTAAAAGGATCAATTTTGTATAATAATATTATATATGAGCGACTAAAAATGTAACTAATCCATACGTCAAAGAATTTTAGTTAAGAAAAAAAAAATATGAACATATCAAGGAGTAATCCAATCTCACATGTTGCAGTTGATATAAACTTTCCATTCCTGCTCTCCCTTGATCAAGCAGTGACACTTCTTTTACAGCAAAAATGAATCCGTCTCTACAGTGGTAATCAGAAGATGTTAAAAAAATATTTAACAAAAAACACTGGTAATTAGCACTTAAGAAAAAGAAAACATATGAGCTTCAAACCCTAAACCCTATAAACTTCGATTTATTTATAGATTTTCTCCAGGGCTTTGTAGAGAAACAAATCCAAAAGATGAAGCAATGTAGAAAATAGCAGATGATAATTTCTAAGTGATCAAATGAACAACTTAATTTCACCATTCAATTAGGGGAAACTAAAGATTACTCGAATAATGCTCACATTCATTTCCCAATCAAAATGAACAACGGATCAACACACATTTTTGGCTGTCACAGGCTTATAACAGTTTATGAAAAACCCCAATAGGGAAATTTACAGGCTGCGTGTTAGAGGAAAACTAAAAAGTAAAAACTATAAGAAACCATCAAAGATAAAAGAATCTAAAATATTTGACAAATAAAAAGGCTAATTTTCCATAGTTAAAGCTACTTCATACATAAATTAAAAATAAAATTTTAAAAAAATTAATAAAAATAAATTTTTACAAATTAAATTATACATAAGTTAATTTTAAATTATAAAAAAGTTTATTTTATTTTATTTTCTTATTCCTAAAAATACTTGGGAATAATTTTATTTAAATAGACTCATACTCTTTTTCAACATATTGTTTGACCATATTATTTAACGTGTTGACTTTCCCAATGATAAAATGCTGCAAATTTCTAAATTCTAGAAACATAT